AGCTACGCCATCGCGGCTAGAGCGCCACCATCGTTACACTGCCTCGGGTTCGAACTGGTACCCATGCGACGTATAATCGCGTAAAAATACGATTTTTGTTCACACGTAGATTGGTGCAAAAAAAGAATACATTTGTACTTACGACCTGTAGTTAAACTCATAGTGACATGTGAAGTAATCATTACTATATTCTTTCAATTTGATTGAAAGGTTGTTCACTGTACGTGTGCGCCAGGCATACGTCTCCACTTAATGTAATTTTACGTACATATGCATACATATGTGCACGGCGCAAAACTATTCAATACAGGGTTTTCAAATAACAGAGTGTACGTTGTTAAGGTAGTTCACACTTTTATATAGGCACAACAAAGAAGATGAATCCACGTCATCCCCTCTCAGTTGGAGTACACATTAATGTCCAGCAATCTCTCGGTCAAGGTTGTGATGTGGACATTGCTACTAGAAGCGCTGGTATGGCGTGTTTTTCTGTGTCGTAGAAAAATACAGTTACCTGAACGGGATATACATGCAAAGAAATACACAGTTACGCTATATCTGCTTCAAACTCAACAACGAATAAACATATTATGGAAATGCGTCTTCATGCATTATTTATCAAACAGTTCAAAGTGTCACCTTCGTATTGTCAAGGATTTGTGTTCCTAGACGTAAGTTAACGCAAATAAAAATAGAAAAATACTGTGAATTGTTCGGACATCTCTGGCAAGTTGACAATTGAGCAAACTGTAGCAATTGACTTTTTTTCTATCTGGTCTCCATCTTATTTCGTCGCATATATTGGCGAACGTACGTGTCCAGTGATGATTTATTTATTAGCATATTCACTGAATAAAAGGAAAAACATCTGCAAAATACTTCTATCATCTATGCTTAGTGTTGAGCGTACTTTAATAAAATGACACACAGCGTCAACCAACACGTCAATGGATGCTGTTAGGTGGTGGGAGTCGAATACATTTCAATACTCGTAACTTGCGGCTATACAAAAAAACCTCACGAATTGAGGCATCGTGCGCACAAAGAAACAAGTAATCTTTCAAAGAAGTCTATACCCAGACGTCTGAGAAACAGCCGCCCCATGAGTAATTGATGTTCTCTGTATGTAATCTGAGAGTACAACTTAAAAAGAGTGACGCAGTTACGCGTGCGGTGAATCGGTGAAGACTAATCCTTCGCGTTGTTGCGTAAGCTAAACACACCTGTTTGCCAGATCCGTTCCCGTCGACCGTATCGAAAGGTACACTAAGAAAATCCGATCACAGTGTGTAAAAAATTGATGTGCTTACATGCTATCTGTATACCCAATACCCGCGTAAGGTTACACCTTCCGGAGACTGAGGTTTTTTTTTTATGAAGAGTGAAATCATAATGCTCTTTTTCCACTAGTATCGCGGTGATATCAAAGAATGTTCGCTCCGATTGAGAGAATGTAATCTATCTACTAAGCCATCATATAGCGCTGGGGCATTCACCATAATTAAATATGCATCTGTCAATATCGATGTCGTCCGTTAAAGACTATGCGTGAAGTAGAACTAGCGACAGACCTACTTTTCGAAATGCCAGATGTTAATATCATCGCCAGTGATTTCACTGCACATTACAGAATGGATTCAAATGCGAGCAAAAGACTCAATAGCACGTTGAATAATATCAACCGACAATCCTGTATTAAAAATAAATACAATTAAATGAAATGAAAAGTTTACATAACCTTTTGGAAGTTTATTGATTGCAGTATGTTGTTAGTTTAATAATTGTCTGGAAAAAAGTGATTTTACATGCGATTAATTGTGACGTGGCGTCATTGGCATGTATAGACAAATTTACCCCTCGATTAATAAGGATACTGTTGACTTTCACGCGCATGACCATGTTATGAAAAGTTGCAAAGATTGGTGTCTTTATGGTGATAATTTATAAAAGAGAAGAAAAAAACAAACCATATTCTGCGAATAAAAGAGCTTTTTGTTTACGACCGGCAATACAACCCTGTCACTTACAACAAATGATAATGAATGTACAGTCACTGAACCTCATAAGTCGGTTGACACGCCAGCTGCGACACCTCCAGACACTTCCGTGGTGCCAACCAATTATAGCTGACAGAGAAGTGTGATATATTCATATGCTACATCCGTTGCACGTAATCGTAGGTAAAAATGACGGTTTCACAAAAGTGGAATATTGACATAGACGTCCCAATGTAAGTTAAGTGGTATCATTGATATAGAGAATATCAGTAGTGCATTGAACACTGTATTTTCTGTATTTTCGATACTCTCATAAGTAAAGCAAACCCTTTTTTTCAATAATCGTTGTGCTAATAAAAATAATAAGATTCGAACTAGTAGACAAATGTATTGATATTTAACACAATTTTAGGAAATACGTGTCTTGGTACTAGATTTAGGTTCATATACACCTGTATATCAACTAACCTAATGCAATTGCCAAGACAAGTTAAATTGGAGTTGAATTTCATTGAATTAAGTTAGAGATGCAGGTTCGTGGGCACTTGGGAGTGAATTTTTTTTTGCTTTTTATTATTCAAACAGTCTTGGCTATAAACTGTTGAAATTTTGTAGAATTGTGTATAGTGGAACATACTCAAAAACGATTTTACAATATAGATAACAGGTGCAAAATTATCTGGTTTAGCAAGGCTGTATATAAATAATAAAAAAAAACATGGTGAAAAAAAAAGAAATGACGAGATCTCCATATTATGCACTGTATTTAACTTTTTACAAAACGATAATACATTTAAATTTGTAACTGTAACAGCCATTTTAATTATGAGCATTAGCAAACTTCTTACTGAGTGAATTGTTATGCAAATTAGCAATTATCTCAGCTTCTTTTTAGTGTACATTCCAGAACTTTAAAAAAAAATAGCTCCTAGACGCTTTGACCTTTTGTTTTGAAATTTTCACAAATGATTGACAATGTGTTTATCTTCAAAACGCCGTCGGGGCATTGTTTTTAGTTGAATAGTGTTACAGCAATCGTGCAGACAACTAGTATGGGTGTTAATTTATGCATAAACTTGAAGTAGTGAAATTTGAGCTGCTGCCCTACAATATTGACAACTAGTAGACAGTTTTCAAGACGGCGCTTTCTTCATAGTAAACAGATGTATCCATAAACCAATTTTGACAGGAAAGAGAAGTTTAAAATTCATACAATAAGCTTTTCGAAAATATATAGTTTTGTGGACAAGGGAGGTAATCTTGTTTTCCTAATTAAATAATTAAAATACCTGTCAGGTAAACTGAATCTCTACCTTAAGGAGTTGTTACTAGGTACAGTTTAATTAAACTGGAATTAAATTTATTTCCTATATACAATTGCAATTTAATTTAGTTTCATTAATATTCATGTGTAGTATGACTGAAATTTGCAAATTGGAACTAAAAATTGAAAACGTCAGATTAGTGCCATATTTCCATGCGTAATTAGTGTGCGAAGACTATCTAGCAAAAATCGATAATATTGATATCGACAATACTGTGTATAGCTTCATTATCGCAGGTGTTTGGAATTCAGACACCCGTAAACGTTTTGGAAGAACAGACGAAGTTCTACACAGAGCATACTTATGTGCCATTATTCTATGGGACGATGACCCCACCCCTCCCTATGTATATACATACCTTCGTGATACGCAAAATACGACGACACGGCTGTGCGTCACCACAATATACTTATAACTCTATACAGTCAACCGAGGTGTTAACAGACTATGTTGCTTTACGTCATATATTGTTGATATATATATTGATCTCAGTGTCGTGAGATGATTTACCTTCATTCAATATAAATACGTTTAATGGCGTGAACACGCAAAGTCAAGGTAACTAAAGTTTGTGGAAATATTGTTGATAACAATACACTCTTGATAGATACATACGTTAAAAAAATAAACATTATATGAAAACTCTGCTGTGCCAAACCTGTGAGTTACATAATGTTGTGGGTGGGATCTTGTTTAACGATTTAGTGCGTACATTTACGCTTCCAGTGTATGTTTTAAATATATATATATATATATATATATATATATATATATATATATATATATATATATATATATATATATACTAAATCTGATGTAATTTTCTGCCTTAGAATCGATCTATGGAACGATCTTGTTACAGTCACATGACAATGGTCGCTAATCGTTTTATCTATGGAATGAATTAAAACAACGGTCCAATAGTTATGCTAATGTGTATAACTCGGTCCACGTTTATTTTGGAATGTACTTTCAACACCTAAACTTAATGTATTCTTATCCTCCACCCTTGATTACTACTCAAAACAGTATAATGCAGCGAATATATGGAAACATATTTTAATGAACGTCCTGCAACAATTAACAGTCATGAAGTCTGTGGAAGTTCTCAGCTAAAACGCTGCAATTTATGCATCTGAAATAAACAAGATCTCACTCAGTGAAATTCAACACGCTGTTTTTGAACTTGAACTGTCAAATCAGCTGGGCATGTCTGCAATGTTAGTTTATGAGTATCTGACAGAACCTAATGTGTATTTATAGTACAATTGTTGAAAAAAAAATTGGAGACCTGACAAATAAGATGAAATATAACCAATTGCAATTAATTAATTTCAAAAGTACTCAAGGCTAATTCTGGAACATTGTAGGAAATTTTGCGAAAACAAAAATGAAATGATTTATATCAGTTATTTGTGTTGTAAATACCTTGATATAAGCAATTTTCAGTAATAGATTCAGCTGAAAATTCACGAGTCATTGCCTGGTTGCTACATTTATCGAATTACAAATACGTCTTTCATCAGATGCTCAGCCAAGTATAGATGAAGTATAAATTCTCCTTACCTAATGAGGAATATTTCTTGGGAGGGTCGTAGGTTATTCCCGTCGGATTCGCGTTTATTATAATCAAGCGGGACGGACATACCAGGATTATATTAAGCTTTTGGGATTTCACTTAGATAATCTGTGACACTGGTTCACTGGTATGTGTTTGATCTCGAAACATCTATAAACAAGATTTTTATATTCGCAGTATATTTCAATCATTTAAAACTTATTTTACTTATTTTCAGTTAATTTCACAACGCATACGGGAGAGTTTACATAAATGAACAGGGTGATACTGAACATATGTTCCGGATGCAAACCGACATACTGTATTATTAACACTTATACATTTCACAATAATTTACATGCATACTGTTTTTTTTTTCAACCCGTTACGACTACAGACATATTGGTTGTCAAATCAAATTATAGAACACAAGGTAAATGTGGATGATGGGATTCTACTTTGAACAAAAAAAAAGCATTTATAAAATCCGATAATGACCAAGCTGGCCTACAACAGCTGCTGCCGTATTAGGGAGAAAGTACGAATATCATCAAAAGGCAACATAAATACAACGATCGGTTTTCCGGTACCTTGCAAAAAAAATGGATTTATAACTATGCTGAAATTGGTGAATTAAATTTAAATTAAAAATATATTATCTATCGCATGGATAATCTGCGTGTTAACACATATACAATAACAAGAGCGTTGTCCCGGGCCACACAGTCCATACACAAACCAGAACGATTAAAAAGTGCTTATTTTAATTTTCATGGATATTTACAAATTAAAATATGAGGCTTTGCATTCAGAATTATTGTACGTCATGCAGAGCCGAGTGATTCAGAGTCCTTGTTTGAATATTGATTTATGGGTGACAGATGCCCCGGCAAAGCATAATCGATGACACTTCAAGAAAAGAAAAACTCATTTGATGCAGACCTGAAAACCACATAGTAATACATAGGTGGGATCAATACTATTTCGCGTCGACAATATCCATAGACATACGCGTCTTGTTTTGCTAGTTTGTCTATGCCCGCCTCTAGAACAGTCGGCTATATGATCACCCGCTCATCTGTATGTGAGCGAGTTAAAATAGTTACTTGTTTAGATGAAACTGTCTCATCAATTTAGCGATTGTATATCCCCCGGAGCCAGTATTTGTAATCAAACACTTTGCAGTTGTAATAAGGCTAGCGATTAGGTCATTCAACTGTTAGCAGAACTAACTGACAAAGGTTGTATATATAACTAGGCTACAACGATGTGCGAACGTGAGTCGTGGGAGTATTCTATTTATAGAATCGGCAGCAGAACTTTAAAAGTTAATAAAATCGCTATGGTGTATCCCACGGTGTTCCTTGACCCGACGTCCACTGGGCACTACAGGTGATACACATTCTCAACAAAGATGATTGCAAGAAATGATCAGTTGACCGAGAAACTATGTGTGTGAATAGGGTAAAAAGACCAGTATACTATACACATGACACAAAATATTAAAGGTAGAAAGATTCGACTGAATCTGTCAATCCTTAACGCAAGACAAAGATAGTCTGTTTTATCGTTGGAAGCATGCATCAACTCGGCTGTCGTTAATACTTGTGTCTCTTGTCTCACCAATGGCGGGCGTCCTTTCAGTCTTGATCTCACTCTGCCCTTTTTAGGAAAAACTGACGTCTCGATATCGACGTTATTCGACTGTCCATCTTCGCAACTCACACTTCTAGAGGGCGCCTTCTGAGTTTCTTCCTGATGGGATAAATTGTAAGATATTAGGAAAAAAAACGTATTTGTCAAGCCAATCATAAAAAAAACACAACTATCGACAATAAAATAAATATGAAAACGTGTACAGATTCATCATCATTGTCATTCTAACTAAAACAAATTAAGTTAATATTACGTGATAATATACGGATTAAATTATAATAATAACCTCTTGTTCGTCTTTTGATGAATTTTGTCTCATTCGTATTGTTCTTCTGTACTCTCGTTTTTTTCTTCTCTCTGCGTACTGTCCTTTTTCAAATGAATATAAATAATACACCACTGAATATTCTAATAAGGCTAGGAATACGAATACTTGACAAGTAACCATCCATACGTCAATAGCCTGTCAAAAAACAAAAAACAAAACTATGGATATAACACATGCGACATTATAGGTATTTATACAATTTATAGTTTTGTGTGTTTATGTAAAAACAATCTTATGTCGGTATGTTTTTATAATAAACAAATTGCATTCATGAGGGATAATTCCATACAATCGTTCACGTTTATGAAATCCACAAATGGTTCCTTAATGAGTGTTAAATATTTATTTAAGGATAAACCAAATCCACATTTTTTCTTTAATTTATATTGTAGATCAAGAGGCAAAGAGCAGGTAAGCTTCAGACATTCCTGTAATTTTTACGTGCGCTGAGGACAGGAACAGCACAGGAGGCCAACAGTTTTACGCCCCCACTGACTGAGTGTTATGTTGACAACCAAGAAAGCCACGAGCCGCACGTGTGCAGTATATATTCTTTTCAACTTCTGCGTGTGCAGCGGGCCACGAGAGTAGCGCCCTCAATCTTACAAGTTGTAATTACAATGTGGGTAGAAAACAGTTCTTGTAATGTAGCGTTCACGCCACAACGATTCATAAATACTGCCCGACCATTTGTATATATATATATATATCATTATTAGTTCAACAATATCATAAGTTTAGTAGTAGTATTTTACTTTCTTTCTTGCCAAAGGCTCACTAAAGGCTCGGACACAATGGAAATTACCTCAACAGTACGGTCAGAAATTATTATCCTATGTATCCCTTTCGCAGTTTCTAAAGGCAAGAATTAAAGCAGTGATCGTAATCTGTGAGCGAGTATCGTACAGCGTTCTAATTCACTTGCATAAAAGATCCCCGAACACCGCCAAACATTTGTTTATCATCGGTTTCCGGAATGTATTTGTAATATGATTCAAGCCTTGGTCGTTTCAAAGTGCACAGCAAATCTTCACAAGGCATGGAAGAGGAAACACATTTTCATGTACGGAAAAGTTGCGGTTGGATGAATTTGAAATGACGTCACAAATATATACGGTTTTATATCACACACGCGTTTTAGTCGACTGCAACTACCAGAATTATTCGAATTATCTATTATTCCCTAATAATAATTCAAGAAATCTTGTATGAAACATCGACATCATGAGATATTGCCGTATTTTGTTGAAATCGATGTCAAAATTACAAACTGCTCTTATGTACTAAATCTTATTACACTGATTTATTACCTTTTATTATACATCTGTCACCGTAACGCCATATTTTACAGCGCGACGTAATTTTATGCTATTGCCGTGGGTATTTGAACTCTACCATATTAGAAAATGCAAATTCCAAATATTGGAAGACAACGCGGGTAAGCGTTCTCTAATAATAAAAACAAACATGGCAGCCCCCAGGGTTTGAACGAACCCCCTCATAAAAAAGATCGCTAAATCTGTTCTAAATTTTTTAGATTTCGGCATTCCCATGATGTATTATTGGGAGGAAAAGATGTATAATACAATGTAATAAGGTCATTACGAGAATACTGCAAAGTAACATACTTTGCGGTATCCTCGGAATACCTTCATATTCATCACATCTGTCTTAATTTCGAAAAGAAATGTTTTCTAACGTGTTTGACGCCCTCAGTATTGCAGGCAATATATTCATTATTCACTTGTTTTTTCCAAATACTCCGACAGAGGTAGAGGTTTTGAGTGTGATGACAGTGAACTATGCCCTCAAATGTTTTATTTCCATTTTCTTGTTTTGGACCGGCCGCAATCCTACAATATACGAAACTCATTGCTATTGACGGGGTCCGTAACAGATTAACGTCCGGTCAAACCCTGGAGGCAGCCATTTTTGTTTTTATTATAGAGCACGCTAACGCGCAAAATCATTCCATATTTGAAAATTCGCATTTCCTAATATGGTAGGATGAAAATACCCAATGTGAAATTACGGCAGGCTGTAACCTATGGCGTTACGGTGACAGATGTATAATAATATAATTTAGTTCTTAATACCATATCAAGTTAATTACTTGTTGATATACGTACTATATATTGTTAACCTAACTACTGACGGAATAATTGTTGAGGGATTAACTTCAGTGAGTATTTTTAATTCAATCTGATGGAATATAAATATCTAGAAATATTGCTATAGTGTAACTCACCGTAGCATATGCAATCTTCGGTAACTGACTGCGTAACCACGTTGCCTGTGTAACAAGTGCTAAAACAGTAGTAACTCCTAAAGCGACACGAGCTGGCGCTGCTGATATCTCCACCCATACCGAAAGCCACGACAGTGCCACCAAGAGTGAACTAGGCACATATGCTTGTAGCACGTAGAATCCAAGACTCCGAACCAGAATGAATCTAACTCCCAGATGCGTGAAATCGCCTATAAATTGATAAAAAGAAAGCATACTAATAACAAAAAAATGAATATTAGATTGAACTGTATTTAGAAGCTCAAGTTTTCAAATTGCAAAACAACGACATTTTAATATTATGAGGTTATTACGAAAATACTGCAAAGTATGCACGAAGGCAGTACGGCGGAATCCCGACCGACGGGCAGCGGAGATCGATGCGACGGCGAACTCTCTGAGTGTATACTTTGCGGTATCCTCGTAATAACCTTAATAATATACATTTTTTTTCCTATCAGGGATACATCATGGAAATGTCGAAATCCAAAACGTTTAGAACACATTTAGCGAACCTCTTTGTTTAGGGTCCGGTCAAACCCTGGGGACAGCGATGTTTGTGTTTTTATTCTTAGAGGACGCTTACGCGTAATCATATTTGGAATTCGCGTTTCCCAATACGGTAGGATGAAAACACTCAGTGCAATACCGCTAAATTACGGCACGCTGTAACTTGTGGCGTTTTGGTGGCAGATGTATAATAATAAGGGATATCAGTGAAATTATTTTAACTATGAAATACTCAAACTCGGGAAAGGATTTGTTCAGATAGTATCATAATAAACATATTATACCCTTACCTGTCATATAGTGTGTCACATTGGCGTAATCCTCAATCCGTTCTAAGTAATACTGTGGCAGTTCAACTCCGCCATGAATCTCGACAGCAGTGGTATTTTGCAGCCACGTCAATACTAATTCCTTCGCATTATAGGAAACTGAAATGGTAATGGTTAATATCATGAATAATGTAGTAGGAATCTGAAAATTCATTTCGGGTTTATGTATACAACTTGCTATCACGTGCGAATGATTTTTTTCGACCACTGACCCAGGAACGGTATTTCCTTTTATAAATTATATTGTGTATGAGAACGCATCGTGTCAGTATGTGTTGTTCATACAACGTCTTCTCATTTAACTAAAACAATATTGCCCACAATTGCCAGGCTCTGGGTTAAGAAAAGATAGCGGCGTTTCAAAAAACCTGTTCGCGTCATGATTGCATATACACATAATTCGTTGACGAATGCTATTGAGATATCGATCTAATAACTTGATATTCAATACTAGAATGTCACTCTAATTCTAATACAATTCAATACACTTACAAATTTTGAATACGTTGATTATAATAACTCAAACTTACATGACTCCAGTTGCAAATGACATTCCTGCGTGTCCATAGGAAATTTACCAAGAAACATATAACACGATAACACCAAACTAAGCCTAAGGCGAAGACGAGAGTTGAGAATTACAGTCATTATTAGAAAAATACAATCATAATTCACATGTCCATATATGTATATTTAGGTAAGCCATCTGTGAAAAGGAAGACGACATGTGACATGAATGCGGTAGAGTGACAATCACTGATTGGTCATATTTGCTTGGTTTACCTAGTTTAAATTGAAACACGAAAGATTGTGTCCACATAATTGTTTTCTCGAAATAAAAATCCGAACACGCATCTAGCAGGGGGCATATATACTATATTACAAGGCTGATGTAGCAGCATAAGGAAACAATGCATCACCTTAAACTGTACAAAACATCACCATTTGGTTCTATTCTTACTAGCAGATTTTCTTTTGGAGTGCTGTGAATTGTGACCGACTTTGCGTTAGTGAAAAACAGATCCGGTACCCAGACCATGTCCATTACATCACCGCCGTTGATGACGATTGTACCTGTTGAGTTGTGACGTAATCGAGGATCGTACCACGATTGTCTGAGAAAAATTGTAAGTTCGTAATCCTGTAAGTGAAAAGAAAACATGTCTTATATTTCGAACACTAATTTGGAAACCGAAATAAAATGCGCAACCTTCTATGGAATATCTGAAAAAAATTGCACAAGGGAAGCATTGACATATCCATTTATTGAACTAACGGTTATATGTTCGTAAACGTGCCTGCAATTTCAACACTTTATCATGAAAATATCATTATTACACTTTGAAAATAGCGTTAATACACATAAACGACCCATAAGCCCGCTGCGATCGCAAACATGCATACACACACTAAGAATGAAAACTATGGAAGTTAACATGCTTTGTAATTTAAGCCCAACACATAAAACATATGTAATGCACGCAAACATATCGGATATATAATTAATGGAAATAACAGGCGGCATATAATCGACAGGACCAACTTAATTGCCCTCTTGGCTGGCTTTTGGCCATTACTGATTTCACGTTAATTATTTAAGTAAATATTCGGGTCTCAAGTATCGTAAACGTTAAAGCTATTAGATTACCAGACAAGTCTGTTCGCGCCAGACAAAGTTTTATCGGAATAACCATGTGTTACGCGGTCTTCCATCAATATAAAAATAAAGGTAACCCAGTTGTGCTAAAGACATTACAGCTAATGATAGAGGGAAATTGTATCGATATTTAGCATATAATTTCACCACAGATGACAAAACAATGATCAGTTAATACCTACGTGTAATACAAATACTAGTGCCATCGCCTACCACCAACAATCAATTATTGGTATTTGAGTACTATTACCATTCAAAGAATGTTACGGCAGCTCGAATTAATACCAGTGTGTGTTTATATATTTTCAGTCAAACAAACATAATTTCATCAATGGTGGTGACAACGTATTACGCGATGAATATATAGTGTTAGTTTATAACAAACCTGCCAGCACAAACGACATGTTTTTCTGAACCATTGATCCTTTTTTTCTGGCAATGAATGGTCTACTAGTACGAAACGATATAAATATCACGACCGGTAGACTAACTGCGCCACGGCTATAATGCGTTCGTGCGGGCACTGATGTAGGGTCTAGTTACTGTTTAATGTGTATGCCTCGAGCAACGTTTGTGAGTTTGAATCGAATTGTAATTGCTTCGTAGTATTGTGTTTAATTAAACCGATATAGTAAGGGGTTATTGCAGACAATTCGCGCGCTGGTTGCATGACTGATATTTAATGTGCCGAACTGGTGTGGCAACAAATGACGCATTGTTCGAATTAAATTGAGTCAGACAAGTATTTTCTCAATAACATAACTCAAATGTCAAATGTTTTTAGTACAGTGGTATATTGACGCACATGTCCAATACTAAATCGAACTGGAAGACCCGATCGGCTACCGGATTACCTATCAAAACATGTTATTCGTAATACATATACATACTTCGATTGATTTTTTTTTCTGGAAATTACACACTTCTCAGGTGGTATCACACTGCAATTAACTAACAATCACCAATCATAGTCATAACATACAGCACAACGTCAGACTAATTAAAGCACATTCTATTTTTATTAATAATTGCAATCCGTTGAAGAAGATATACTAGTATTTTTTAGAGACTTACCATGCTGCTCTCTGACACGGAGTCAAAACTATTTATATTAATATTGCAGGAAACAATGGTTGGTTCACCTTTTAAAAAACGATAGTACATGCAATTACTAAACATATACAACATATACTTATTTAACATATTTATGCACGAAGACAGTACGGCGGGAGTATCGACCAACACGCAGCGGATCAGTGGTATCACACATTTCACGAGAGTTCAGCAAATTGTACGGTTGTAAAAACGAGTTTCTCTTTGCCAAGATGAGGTTAGGAAAAATGTAAATTTCCAAGATCTTCGTTAAGAATTTAACGTTTATTCATTTCCACCGTAAGCTGACGATACTTCCGTTTTATCAGTACGCACGAGACGTGGAATGAAAATTCTATTACCTTAATAATTCCTGCTAAAAAATATTGTCAAGACGTAATTCATAATAAATTACTTTTTTATATTGTATTTTAATATTAACTTATTATTTTTTATATTATATTCATCTGTCAAATAGGTTTCTTTATTATTTTGCACAGCAAACAAATTAATGTTTTTCACACGTTCTGTCATCACAGTGATTGTAAATTCTTTATTTTGTAAATTTGTTTAATTGTCTCTATGTATTTATATTCGTTGTATTTTCTCAGTAATAAACAAGTATCTTAATTTGAAGGCTGATGAGTATGTTATCTCCGTAAAATCAAACATTTATGAGCGGCAAAATCTGCAATTTTAACTCTCACAGCAATAGTGAAGTCCGTTATCACTACGATGCTCCTGTGAATGGGGAAACGATGACAAGTCATATCTTATATGCACCATATTACTGATTTGATAATAAGTCCTGACAACGTATTTTAGATTTAGGTTTTAGCGCAAAATGTGTGAAAATTTTTTTGAAGCGATGACGTTGCAATTCAGCCAATTTAGACGCCTAATTGAATTCTGACCCCGCAAACTCCAAACAGTTTGAATCGCACGAATGGCATTTTTGCAGCGCCCTCACATGGCAGAATGCAACGTTTGAGGAACTCGAAAAAAGACAATTAGAAATTCGGCAGGAAAGCACAATATGACCTTCGATGGGTGCCTAAAATTGTTGGTATATTTGGTCAACATTTGTTGCCAAACTATACTTTATATTTAGCAAACGACTGAAATTGTAGACATCTTTAGTTTTGCATGTTACATCTGCTAAATAATAATCTAAATTGTTGTAGTTGTCATCTGCATGTGAAGAATTACGTGTAATATAGCTTACATTTAATAATTAGGCAAACTTTTTGATAGTGTTGTGTCAGTATTGAATTAAAATCATTGTCAAACGTTACCCGGACATAATAATGCATTTATCACAAATTCAGAAATCGTTGGCAAGCAGTGACGCGCACTGTTTTCTAATATCATCGAGTTAGGCGAATATCGAACTGCAAATTAATACTCACCTTCTACTGTGGGCCTTAGTTTACTGATCTTAGAATCCCCCATTTGACTCAGCAGTTTTAGATCTTCTTCGAAATATTTGACACGTGTACTAGTAGAATACAATACGAAAACATATATCAGTAACATGATTATATATATATATGAGATTCGTCGTCTAAAATACCATGCTTATTGAAGATGAGATAATACATGATTAAAAGAAAAAATATATACAATTGAACAAGCGTACTAGGAAAGACAAGGAGACAATTCTCGAAATGAAAGTGATTTTTGTATGTGAAAATTGCAAGCACAAGTAGTGCATCTAATGCATGTTGCAACATCACTATACAATGGTGTGTGCTGGCATTCAATTAGAAATGAGAAATGGATATTTAGAAATCATTTTGAATATACATTGAATGGTGAACTCGAACCCCTTCGATTAGTCAAACATGTTTCACAGTGTGGATGTAATTTACATGCAAGATTCTGAACATTCTGTAAGGCAGTGGTGAATAATACAAAAGGTTACTGGATGGAACCTTTCACCATGACTGTTTTCTATTCTTACCGGTCTGATTGAAACACATGAGAATGATCATTATAACCTAACGGGTAGTCATTCATGTTTGAACTTCTTTGTTTCCTGTTGAAAGCAAGCTTCATTTGTTATTGGAATCAAGTATTTGTTTTTAATAAAACAAAGTATTCGGCACAAGTATATAGAGTGTGTTATTTTTTATGTTTTAGACGAGCATAGTGTTAATAATATAACAATAAAGATGATTATATAATTTCTGTTACTGAAAGCTTGACGGGGTGCGTAATTGTTCTTATACTACACTCACAATTGAAAGTTGGTCAATCGCTTTATCAGATAATCTAATATTGAAATGATAGAGATGCAGTTTACCTGATTGGTATTTTAATTAGTTAATTAGGAAACCAAGATGACCTCCCTTGTCCACAAAACTATATATTTTCGGAAAGCTTATTGTATGAAATTTAAAGTTTTGTTAGTACTTTATTTTTATGAACACTGTAGTTTGAAATATGCACAAAAATGTGCTTATTTGGTCAAAAGTGATTTAAAAAAATTTGCTTCTAAACCATGCTTCTGTTTCCTGTCAAAATTGGTTTATGGGTACATCTGTTTACTATGAAAAAAAAACGCCGTCTTGAAAACTGTCTACCAATTGTCAATTTTGTAGGGCAGCAGCTCAAATTTCACTACTTCAAGTTTATGCATAAATTAACACCCAGGCAAGTTGTCTGTACGATTGCTGTAACACTATTCAACTAAAAACAATGCCCCATCGGCGTCTTGAAGATAAACATATTGTCAATCATTTGTAAAAATTTCAAAACAAAAGGTCAAAGCGTCTAGGAGCTATTTTTTTTAAATTCTGGAATGTGCACTAAAAAGAAGCTGAGATAATTGCTAATTTTCATAACAATTCATTCAGTAAGAAGTTTGCTAATGCTCATAATTAAAATGGCTGTTACAGTTTCAAATTTAAATGTATTATTCTTTTGTAAAAAGTTAAATACAGTGCATAATATGGAGATCCCCTCATTTCTTTTTTTCACCATGTTTTTTTTATTATTTATGTACAGCCTTGCTAAATCTTGCTAAGCATTCAAAAGAGATAATTTTGTACCTGTTATCTATATTTTAAAATCGTTTTTTGAGTATGTTCCACTATTCACAATTCTACAAAATTTCAACAGTCTATAGCCAAGACCTTTTGGATAATAAAAAGCAAAAAAAAATTTCACTCCAAAGTGCTCACGAACCTGCATCTCTACCTTAAAAGAGTTCCAACACGTGTATACAAACGACGCTGGATATCATTAATCACGTTAAGGTAATTACCATGCTAAGACTAGAACAAATTAGTCTGATAATTACCTACTATGCAATGAATAAATTGTGTTAACACATAATTAATTTGCGCCAGTTGTTTCACAAGTCGAATGTGTTTACAAAACATTATTATCTTGTTTACGAGAATAGTATTTAATTAATCCTGTTTATTGCTTATGTGATAATAATTATGTTTGCTAACTGTAATACGTCAAACCATGCATGTCTTGTCTTTTCGGCATAGTTCCGGCAAAGCACGGCTACCAATTTAACTTGCAAACAGTATTCATTTAAGTAAACGTATAGGAAGGGCCCTGGCAAAAAAAGGTCCTCGTATAATATATGCATATTGCTATCATTGTGTACTAGACTGGAAAGGAAGATAGTGTATCGATGTTGAGCAACAAGGGAAACAAAGTTTCACGTACGCTGCCGAGAGATTGTAATAATGAATAAAATACATGTGCATAGAATGCTCATTAATATCCACTAATGGATTAATTATCGGTATTCCAATTAACTGTTATCACATAGTGACTATACCACACTGTAATGTCTGTCAAATGTAAAACGTTCTTGATTAGGTTTTAATTAATGTTTCTTTAACCGACTTAACCGCGCAATTTAGGAATACTACTAGATTGAAAATTATCAAGAAATTCTGTGTTTCACTGAACATGTAATTATACGAAATATATATTTTCCTAAAGCTATGGAGAATGAGAATACGTGTCCTTATTTGCATAAAATATGCATATTTTCACGTGTTACTAAGTTACGGACATTGCCGCTTTTTATTTGTAAACTAAAAACATGTTTATTGTATTCAACTATGTTCCAAAGATTTTATGGTTATCGCCGATTCTTGGTATGTACGTAGAAAATCAATGATCCGTCAACGAATGCACATAAACTGTCGAAATTTTGAAATGAACAAGCGGAAACTGAAATAAAAAAATCGTTTATGCAGAGCAATATCCGTATCATTTCCAATTAACATTTCAGTACATCTTATATGAAATGCTGTTGACAGTTCAACAATGGCGCGCATATATACAATTTTTAGTTCGAAATACACTTCGCACGGCGTATTGATTGCCGAACGATAACGACAACATGTTCTTTCCCTCAGTATATTAGTTGCTAGCATCTGGCTTTCCATGATGCTGGCAGTTGGAAGAACGCGCGTAAAACTTCACGAAAGGAGAAATTCTTCTTTATCGCAGGTGTCTAAAACAATTCTTACCTGCCGCTACCTGAATTAATATTCATTTAATTAATAGAAGTTGTAAACTCATTAACATTTAATTATGTCCATTTCAAATATCGGTGCCATAAATCCAACAGATAATTGCGTCTCTGAAGAAGTAATTAATTCAAGATGACCGTAACTCAGTTTAATCATCATTGCCGTGAAAGTACAATACACATTACTGTTTTTAAATAGCAATTATCAAGGGTATCACGTGTCAGCAAACGATATATATATATATGTTAAATCGTTCATTATTCAAAACTGATGCAACGCTTGGGAATATGGTAATACAAATTACGTCATACTTTTAACACTTAATCTTTCAATACTCTTCACACAAGACTTGAGAATTGTTGTCAGTTATTTCAAATCATATCAATAATTGTTTATTCAGTTTAAATTACAGCATTCTAAACGAAATGTACCAGTCGTGGAAAAGTAGTAATACAGTGTCAATAAGTATGCTGATGTCTTCGTCATATATTTAGATTACTATCTCTATGTCTCGTATGTACTACCTGCGCTCAAATTTCAATATCGAACATTTTCCCTTAAAATAATATATACATATATAATAATTGTATTACTGTTTTCAAACTTAGCAATGTTTTTTTTTTCCAGGAAATTGTACTGTAGGCATTATTTTGTTTTTAAAGCATTTGTGAATCAATAAGGTGTTATAATAAATGCAACAGTTTTTTGCCGTTAGGAGGACATTTTGAAGATTTTGATTTAATTCGGTTTTCATCATTTGAATTGTCATCGAATAGCGAGGTAACCTGTTCAACGATTGCATGCGACCTATATTAAAACATATTTCGAAGTAAAATTTTTTTCATTAACCTTGGTCTGAGAAGAACATCAAACACTTGGCATGTTTTCCATCTATCTATTATATCTCTCGCTTTTGATTTTATAGTACGACTATTTTAAATTACTCATTTTACCTCTAATTGGGATAATTAATGCGAACTTCAAACATTGGACGTTATTTAGTTTAATAGGTTGTTGCGTTTAGCGTGTACCCGGAGCTGAATTGCAAACACAATTAAAGATTGGGGTATTGATACTATCCCGTCATACGATGCGTTAATTGGGCGTTGCATTATCAGCTGTAGAAATAGTTGCCGAGACGGACCAATATATCTATTGCATGCTGTCCATGTTCATATCCTTTTGCGTGAGGATAGCGTACAGTTTTTCTCTGCAAATCAATCTGTATTATTTAACGGACCAATTAAACGAATGATTAAATGCACCTTTTTAATTGAAACATGGCGAAATAGTCTGTTCGGAATGAGTCACCTGGAACAGCATACAATAAACTGGATAACAAATTGAGAAACTTATAATTCATTTTCGTAATGGTGAATTACAAAGCACTATTCGTCTCGACTTTAAGCATTAAATACAGTGTGATATAGGACTGTTATGTTTTATGACAGGAACTGTTTCTTGGACGAGGTTTGTGCTCATATTTCTGTTTTGATTACCCTGTCGTAAATCCGTAGTGACTAGATGCTATATTCATGTGTCAGCCTTTCGTCACGCGATATGACGCCAAATCGTACTGATATGATATAAGCACCACGGCTGTTTAAAGAAGTGTCACTTACCCGAGAGATATGACCACGTGAATGAGTAAAATAGCGGTAGTTAAAGTGCAAACGGGAACTGCATTCGGTAGGATCACCATGCCCGTAAGATGATGAGTGGACATAGATTGGTTAATGACCTTTAACTGGCAATTACGGCTATGTCTCAAGGATCGGATTTCTGCAGCTGCTATCTTGAAGATATCCCATAGATGAACCACGCATGGTTCTTAGTTTCTGTAAAACAAAACAAGAAATATGTCACACTCACCGTCCTTGATGACATTACGAATTGGGTTTGAACCTGCCCCTAAATAGCCTGCATGGGATACTAAGTATAGTATTTTTCCATCTGTAGCGACGTTATTATTTATATACATGCGGGTTGG